CACTCGGAATATCATTAGCGGGCGTTTACGCGGCCTATAGCTATCATACCGTTAAGAATATTCCGCACTATTACTCCCTGCACTCATGGTTGGGAGGGGGGCTTATGGCCATGTATGCCATGAATCATATTGGTGGATTTATTACGTTCATTAAGCCTGGTTTGCCATCACTTCGCAAGCTTATACTACCGTTCCATGTGTTCATAGGCACAGCGTGTATAGTACTGGCCGGTGGTGTGGCTATTAGTGGTCTCACAGAGAAAGCGTTGTTTAGTTTGTAAGTATTGGACACAAAAATAGTGGACATTTTAATAATAAGTGTTGATTTTTAGGACAACTAAGGGTCAGGAATATCGTAACCTCCCGGAGCCCGCGCTACTCATTAATGCGTTTGGCGTGAGTATAGTGTTGTTCATTATAGCTGTGCTATATCTGGTCACCCGACCCCAGTATGCGAGAAAGGATGTGCCGGCGATTAATAAAAAGGATTAAAGTGCCAAAAATATTAAGATATTTTGTAGTAAGATTTTTAATAATAATAATTATTATAATTAATAGTTAACTTAAATAAATAAAGTTTAAAATGTATTAAATTACAAACCTATGTTTAGGTGTACCGTATATTGTAGAGGGCATGACTGCCAAAGATTTAATAAAGTTTTGATACCCGAGTAGTAATCTGTTTTGAATGAACACATCTATTTCAATAAAATAGTCTGGGTCCATTTGCGCCACAGAAGCCAACATTGAGATAATCGAGTTCTTAAGCAACAGAATCGGACCAAATTCTGTGTCCAAATTGAATTCCTTTATAAAGAACCTGAGGAAGAGGTCGTATACTCGATCACTTCGTTAGCGAAATCCTCGGTGTAGTTCCCGTAATGTTTGCCAATTGATATCAGCCAGGATTTTGATCTAATAACACATTTCATGGATATCAGGATATTTTCCAAATAGTATATCCACTGGGGAAGAGATTTTCACTTTGAATTCAGTGGAAAGTATTTATTAAATGAGCGCTTTTTACTAAATCTCAATACAGTTTGCAATCATTTTTTCTACAAATTATGTTGTAATCAAATCAATATATTCACAACTAATGTTTTTATATTAAACAAACAAATATGTCTACCGATTAATGCATAGAATTAAATACAGAATAACATATTTGTTATCACATACTATTTCTATCAATTGTACCTTACTAACCAAGCTCACAGATGTTTTTAAAATGTTTTAAACTTGAAAATACTCAACAGATATTGAGTGCATAATACTAAACTTTTATTTATTATTATATACTATATAATACCGGTATATTGTATATATTAATATAAATTACATTATAAGCTAATAATAAACTAATCGATTGAACATTTTCTTTATATTAAATAAATTATTTTAGTTTTCATATATTTATTATTATATACTATATAATACCGGTATATTGTATATATTAATATAAATTACATTATAAGCTAATAATAAACTAATCGATTGAACATTTTCTTTATATTAAATAAATTATTTTAGTTTTCATTCAATGATTAGATAGAAAATTTTAAAATGTGCTAAAATATTGTACACGTATTGGATATCACTGTCTATTCAGAACTGCTGTTAAATGCAAAAAAAATAAATTAATAACTAAAACCTTAGTAAAAATTAATTTAAAAGTGAAAATATGTGATACGTTGGAGTTATTTTTAATTTAAAACACAGTAAATTTTTTATTTTGTTTGTAATTAAACTAAACTTTAAATTAACAGTAAGTTTGACTGCTGTTTGTGTTACACTTTACTTCAGTAATAGTAAACTTATATATAATAATTATTTTAATAAACAATTGTTAAGTGTAATAATAATTTGCTATTAGTAGACATCTCATTGATTACAATTATTGTGAATTTGGATATTGAGAAAATGGCCAAAAATACCCGGGATAATCACCAAACAGGTGGCCGTACACTAATGCAAAGTATCTTATTGTACACCATGTATTTGGGGACTCAGGTGTTGGGCATCGGGATGATCGGGATCTGTTGCCTGTTGACTAACAAACATTTGGGTGGTTTCTCCCTGAACACTCCCGAACAGACCTTCAATTATCATCCATTACTGATGGCCACGGGAATGGTGTTTATCAACGCTAATGGTATGACACGTCTACCTTAAAATGACACGTTTATAAAAATTTCTTATCAATCATATGGTTATCAGCTAACACTTTGATAGCAGTTTTTAAAAAATAGTTAATTATTTATGAAATTAAATTTATCAATGAATTACTAAATCTATAACTTTAGAAGCTAGTTTAATTATATTATTTCAAAAATAATATAATACTCATAATAACAATTTTGAATTCACTTTTTCTATAACAGGTATACTATTCTATAGGATCAGCGGTTGCTTTAAATACCCGACACAAAAGTTCCTACACATGTGTTTGCAGTTGACAGCACTGGTAGTGTCATTAGCCGGCGCCTATGCTGCTTTCAATTTCCACACCGTCAAGAATATTCCGCACTACTATTCCCTACACTCATGGTTAGGAGGGGCGAGTATTTGCATGTTTGCAATGAGTCAATTTGGCGGATTTTTGGCATTCATGTGGCCCGGTATGCCGGCGTACCGGAGGTCTATCCTACCGTTGCACGTATTTGGCGGTATCATTAGTATAGTACTGGCCGGTGGTGTGGCTATTGCTGGTCTTACAGAGAAAGCGTTGTTTAGTTTGTTAGTATTGAACATAAAAATAGTGGACTTTTTGTAACAAATGTTGATTTTTAGGACAAAGGAGGGCCAAGAATATCGTGACCTCCCGGAGCCCGCGCTACTCATAAACGCCTTTGGTGTGAGTATAGTGTTGTTCATCATATCCGTGGTATATCTGGTGACTCGACCCGATTATAAGAGAGTGGACGTACCAGCGATTAATAAAAGGGATTAAATGTCGGGAAACAATAAATTCATTCATTAATTCATCAGACAATTTGATTTTTTGCTCAAATTATTTGTGAATAATTTTGATGAGAAATTGCGAAATAAAATATTTAAAATTATGAGTGCAATCTAATTATTGTACAATTTTGTCTTAAATAATGAACACAATTTGCTTTTGTTAATAATTTATTTCCAAATTAATCTCAAATATATTGAGTGAAGTGTTTTAATTAAAATCTAGACATTTTAAATTAAAGTCTAAAGTTTAGAAACATCTTAAATTAGATATAACTTTATAGTATATATTTAAAATATTTAATGTTTAATAATTAAAAAATGTTTTATAAGTTATTTACAATTCACGAAACTTTACTATCATCGCATTTTGCATCATTTTCACAGCAATTATAATGCTTGGTAAATTTAATTTGAAATTTGTCATCAATTAAATGAGTAAACTCCTTTGGATTGGTTTTATTAGAAATCTATGTATAGGAATAAAATAATTAAAATAATAGTTTTGAAAAATAAAATAAAATATTCAAACCTCAATAGCACTTTCAATGTTATAATTAAGCAACAAATGCGCCAAAAGGTGTTTAATGTGGAAAAACGCATACTTCATACCTAAACATAATTAAATAATTTGTATTTTGTAATAAATAACCTAAAAATAAATAAATCACAAATTATATTAAATCACAAACCAATGCAATTTCGGGGTCCGTTGGCAAATGGTATGAATGCCAAAGGGTTTATCAGGTGTTGAAACCCGGGTAGAAATCTATTTGGATTAAATACATCGGGTTCGGCAAAGTAGTCTGGGTCCATATGTACCACGGATGCCAGCACTGAGACAATTGAGTTCTTAGGCAACAGAATAGGGCCAAATTCTGTGTCCAAATGAAAGTCCGTTTTTACGATTCTCTCAAACCTGGGGAAAGGGGTCGTAAACCGTAGCACTTCCTTAATAAACGCCTCGGTATAGTGTAGTTCCCGCAATGTTTCCCAATTGATGTTATCCGGGTTCTTGATCTTATCGCACACTTCTTGGTAAGCCGTGCGTTGGATATCCGGATATTTTGCCAAATAGTATATACATTGGGAAAGGGTTTTGGCGATGGATTCGGTGGCGGCGATGAACAGTGCGATTAAGTTGTCTTTGATCTCCGGACTCGTCAGACCCTCTGTTTAATTAGTTTTGTTATAATTAGTGACAATTAATTTATAATCAATTTATATTATTTCATTTCTAACAAATTAAGGTGTAAAAAATAATTATATTTTATGGCTTGTTTACATGTATTAGCTAAAAGATAATCTATTTATAAATGTATTAATCTATTTATAGTATTTAAGAGCAAAATTTGTTTTGATTATAATTTTATTAATTTATTTATTAAAGTCAATGTTATGTAAACACATTTATGGTCCTATTTGTAGACTTTTATCATAAATTAAAGTTTATTTAAATTTCTCAACTTTTGTTATTTTAACTACATTTGTATCATAAGAGTTATGGACTATTATTATTAGAATTT